AAAAAAAAAAACTTTCCATCCAATATTAGTACCAATTAATTCAACTACAAAGAAATATTGATTATAACACCAATATCTCTTTTTCCCATTAAAAAAAAAAAAAAAAACACCAACATCACTTTTGTTTCTCCCTTTCTCGCAAAAATTTCAGTGTTTTATCTGTTATCTCAAAATCTAGAAAATTGCCCTCTCTTCTCTTCTCTGCCATCTATTCATGACCCAACTAAAACCCCAAACTTACCCTTTCTTTTCACTGTCACATCTGGTTGAGGAGTCTCAATACTTGATTTCTTTTGCAAATGCAATCAATTTTGAAGGATTGTCAATTGCTTCTAAAGGGAATGTCTACGAGACAGAGAAGCATGGAGCTAAGTAATTGCAAAAGATTTTTCTTTCTCTCCTTTTTCCCATGATCAAACCAGATTTGAACACAAACGTGTAGATAAAGAAAAAAAAAACTAGAGATACAGGAGCAGTGAAAGGAAAACAATTGGAGAAATAAAAAAATTAGTTCTGAAAAGAAGAAAATTAAAGATGGAGTTTGAAAAAATGAAAACAAAAGAAGTGCTGTAAAAAATGGGGGATAATTGGAGAAGAAAGTGTAGTGGTTGACAGAGCCGGAAGGATCTAGAACTAGGGCAAAGGTAGAGGATTTGACTTTTGACATTTTATTTTTATTTCTCTTAAGTTAACTGTTACGTGTTAATATAACTATCCAATATCCTTTTAAAATGTAAAGTGACTTATCATGATGTAAGAGGGAGTGTTCAAGCGCACTCGCTCCTCCTAGCAGTCAGTGCGAGACCTAACAAAAATTCACTCTATTCGTAAAATTGATCCTAATTCAATCCATAAAAAATGAGTTAGAGTTTATAGATTTCAACTCACAAGATAACTTATATTATCAATTCGTGCGGATTATAAATCAGGTTAGGGTCAACTCATGAGTTGACAAATTGATTTCGTTTGTTTTAAATTTTATTATTATTTTTAAATATTATACTTATTATACTTAATTAATTTTACTATTGGTAACTCCTTCCATTAATTCATATTTTTTAATTTCTAAAAAAAAAAAAGAAGAAGAAATTATGATAAATTTGATCTAATTACCCAAGTATCATTTTTTTTTGTATTAACAATTACCTAAGTATCATAAATGAAATGATAATACAATTAAAAATATTAAAAGATGTAATGTTAGAATATAAACATAATAACTTAGTGAAAGATGTTCTTGAAAGAGCAATTTTATCATTAAAAAAATAGATTAAACTATTTGATAATGATTCAATATGATTATAAAATTAAATTTTTATTTTTCAAGAAATTTAAATATTTTACGTTTAATATTTTTATTGTTAATCAATTTATCATTATTTATAACTTTTTTATTTTTTTCTTAATTTAAATGTTTGTGATTGAAATTATAAAGTATTTAGTGTTAATGAATCATAATATTTTAATTAGATTTAAATATATATAGTTTTATTTGTATATAATAAAATTAATAAAAAATAAAAATAAAGTCAACTTACAAATTAACTCATAATTCATTAAGATCAAGTTAAAATTAAACTTTTTCAACTCATAACCCATTTATAACTCAAGCCATATAACCTATTATTCAGATTATGTCGAGTTGACATAACCCAACCCTGACCCAAGCTGTCCGTTTACCAAGTCTAGTCAGTGCTCATAAATTTACCAAGTCTAGTCAGTGCTCATAAATTTATTTATGTGCAGGGGTAACTTGGCATTTTTTTAATAGAGGTAACAGGCACAGGACCTTTTTTTCTATTAATTTGGGTACAAAATCTAAAACCCTCAAACCCGTGTTGTTCAAAGACTTAAAACTTGAAAGTTTGAAAGTTATAATTTGAGGAAACTTAAGGTTCCACGGGTATTTTGATATTTTTGTGGATCAACCAAGATTTTCACCCCACTCACCTTCCACAACCAACTATTTCCCTAAACCAACAGTTTATATTTCCCTAAACCAATAATTTAACAACCATCTCAACACAAAACCAAATTTTATTGAATCCATAAAACACCCAGATAAGAAAACCTCGACCCACCTCTAAGTAAGTGAGTTTGAATGCATCAGTGCCAGAAAACCTCGACCCAATAGCAGTCTCTTCAGAAACCAGAGCAGAAACCACCCTATTCCACCTATAACACAAAACCCCAAATCAAATTTACTCAAATAAGAGCAAACAGATTTGATAAAGGTATACAAATATACCTGCGTGAGGAGAGCTTTAACGTATCAGGATGGAGGCCAGTTGGGAACAGAGGAAATGAGATGATGAGACGCAAAGATAACAGTAAGGACAAGGGGCCACTTCTAGCTCCGGCGCGGCATGTTCTGCAAGAGAAAGGAAAAGAATTGCAACGAGCTGCCATAGAAGCTGACCGTTCACTCTTTCCCTTCGAAACTTCCCGCGAATTGGGGATATGGAAATGCAGAGTGGTTTTAGTTTAGCCCACAGAAATTGCCTCCACTGGTTTCTGCTCTGCCACTTGGCACACGCTGACCCATTGTCTCAAATTTTTCATTTTTTATTTTTTGAAATTTCTTTTTACTTTTTTATTAAAAAATAACATCCAACTCTAATTAATTTATAATTAAACTATATCGTATCCAGTTTTGATAAAAAAAAAAATTCTCTTATTGTTAATCTTTTTATTTACAATAATTAAATTTAAAATTTTATTTATGAGAAATTAAAATTTTTTCACTTAAATTAATAAATGGTTGATTTTTTAAAACTCTTTGTATGTAGCTTTACTTTGTCATTGAAATAATAAAAAATAAGGGTAGTTTATGTCAATTCTTAACTATTAAAAAAAATTAAAATCTCAACTTAAATCATGTGGTTTTATTTAATTGAAATTTAATTTAAAATTTAAAATTTTACATAATTAAATATTAATTT